GACATTTGTGAAAAAGAGATTTTATAGCTCATCGGATTCCTCCAGTATGAATAAATATTCCGATCTTCCGATGTAAACTCCGCTGTGAGTGGCTACACTTCAAGTGGCGGAATATCTTCGGTAGACGCTTCCCAGCAACAAACACATTCCTGCGGAGGGAGCTGGTAGGAACGTTGGGTTGCTCGGTCAATGGCCATTGTCAACGGCGGCGTGGTGTATTCCGCAAATATGGCCGACTGTGAGGGTGGGCACAAGCCGGCGTGAGTAGGTTAAACGTTGAGTTTTATAAGGGCACCACGGGGTGATCAGCCCCTCCCCACCCAGCCCCCACCCAGCCCGACCCTCCCCACCCAGCCCCTCCCCACCCTCTCCTCCCCACCCAGCCCCTCCCTCCCCACCCAGCCCCTCCCTGCACGATGGACGGACGGACACAATAATCCCCTGTGGGCTGGTGAGAGTAACGAATACAGATGGCTGACCACGGTGCATTTAAACATTTCTCAAACTTCTTCAATTTGTGCTCCTATTTTAACGTCAGCCATTGTTTTTTTTTGCGCCAGAATATTCTTTCAACGCTCGGGAATATTAAACAAAACTAAAAACCTCACAATACATATTGTGTAAACACCAAAACACTTTTTAGTACCCCTCGTACAAGACCGCGAGAGGAGTGTGAACATGGCAGCTGTTTAGGGCAACGGGTTCTCTCCTATGATAATTGGTTCTTTACCCTTCTATCTGGCAACAAAACTGACACCTTTTTACAAGGAGTCATGTTTGCATAGACCGCAATACCTGCAGTCATAATACAAACAAAAGAACATAACTCTGATAATGTGCACTGTCCCTGAAGTTGATTGGTCCACACCCGAGACAGCTTTCCTTAGAGCCTAGTCTCATATGGGTTGGACCAGATGACGCCAAAAGGCGCACTCGTGCGCCTTTTGGACTAGGCTCTAAGGAAAGCTGTCTCGGGTGTGGACCAATCAACTTCAGGGACAGTGCACATTATCAGAGTTATGTTCTTTTGTTTGTATTATGACTGCAGGTATTGCGGTCTATGCAAACATGACTCCTTGTAAAAAGGTGTCAGTTTTGTTGCCAGATAGAAGGGTAAAGAACCAATTATCATATTTTTACTGGCAAATGAGGTTCCCATAGTGTAAAGGGTTCTCTCCTAGTTTATACATACACATAAATATTAAATAAATACACCCTTATTCTAACACCTAAGGATTTCTCGCATTAGCTCAAAGCGTGAAAAGGAGCGCTCATTCACAACAATGCTGGGCAGCATGGCCTTCACTCGATGCAGCTCTGGAGATCCCTTCCGGAGGGCGTTGTTACGGCCTCCTCTTCCACGAAGATCAGGCAGCACCCCCCACACTTTACCCCACCACACACGACCTGCCGATCGCCCCCAAAATGCGGTGGTTACCCGTTCACTCTGCCGGGTGAAGTGGGGGGGAGAGTTATTTAAGAAACTCGACCCATTTGTTGTACCCGCCAAGCCGGGAGATCGAACAGGCGGACCCTCTGTATTGCGAAGTGCAAGTGTGCAAACTACCAACACGACCACAGCAGCGTGCATCTCTGTCCCCTAACATCATTGCCGAACGCCGGTCCATCGCGTACACGCACACGCACCAAAACCAAAAAAACACCCCACACATTGATTGCGCGTCTTTTGTTATTGCCGTATTGGGTGCGCACCAATGTTTCAACTTTAATTACGTCCGTAATGATGCGGGCTCCAGACGACTTGGCTTTTATAAAATGCGGCGGAAAAAAAAAGTGAGCCACGGTCGGAATGAAAAAAACCCAGCACCGCCTCCCCCAGGCCCACCGCCCCCCCCCAAGGCCACCAGCCCCCCCCCCCCCCAAGCCACCAGCCCCCCCCAGGACATCAGCCCCCCCCCCCCAACCACCCAGCAGGAATGAACCTCTCAGCAGTTACATCCAACAAAGCGCGTGCTCTTGCCAGCTCTGTCAGCAGTGGCAGCGGACAGTGAATAATAATAATAATCATCATCATCATTATTGTTGTTGTAATGGCAGCGATGCAACTCAATGGGAATATTTACTGCCTAATGATCACACGGCCTCCGGTGGGGATGTCACAGAGAGGTCCACGCTGGCTTTGTTCGTGCGGCGATAACCATTTGCGTCGCGAAGGGCGAATCCTTTCAGAGTGATTGACAATGTGTACGTTTGATGGACGTGCGTTGGTTTTCAACGAACGTCATTCGTATTCAAAGTAAGAAACAAAAAATACAATTAGACCGCAGAAAGCTCCGGGTTTAAGGGGTTGGTTGAATTGAATGACGCGGAGCCTCTGTGCATAAATTACGCGTTGTTTTTTTCCTTCTCTCTCTAGAAACTTGCTCTATTATTTTATCGACAGTTTAGAGTCGAAAGCGAAGGTAGGTCTTGGATCATACTCTTTCTTAGCCTTATCATCACTCACTTTTCTCAGCCTTGCCTTTTGGACTGAAAACAAAACAGCGCATCGGCCGTGTTTGTGTGTGTGTGGGGAACGGTGGCGCAGCGGTTAGCGCCCTGCACGGCGACCCCGGCGACCCGAGTTCGATACCCGCTCACGGCCGTCACCAGTGACGATTATCTGAACCACTCCTGGGCCTCCCCTAGGTCGGCTCAGCCTCGCAATGTGTAATTGGTGTGCGATGTCAAAGATCATCACGAGGGAGACAAAGGCGGTCGGGTATAGTGCTGGCAGCACACCCCCGCGTGTGTGTCGTATCGGCCTTCATAGATGCTCACGAACAGCACTTACCTGTTTAGGCTCCACGGCAGGGAGGGGGAGCAGTTGGGTATTATGTTGTCAACCTTGATTGTGATGCAATCACTGCGAGGTAGTTCTGGAAGTGTTCCTCCCCAGTTTCCCAGCGTGAACAAAAATTAAAAAATCTCCCACGCACCTTTGCCCAGCCTACCGACTCCATATTCCACAATTAGCAGTAGGGGCATGTGGGCGGTTTGCTAAAGCTTTAGACTTAATTAAGATGGCATAGCGTGCTGCTGCAGAGTCCTCGCCCATGTAATTAATATGTAATGAAATATCGGGAAAAAATATTTATAAAATATTTATATGCGGCCCAGCATGGTCTGTTGTGGATCAGGGTACTTTTTTCACTCAGGCAAATATTTCATGCAGTGATGGTTCAATACCAGTTTATAATCGGTGTAGGCAGTGTGCCATAGAGTGGGATAAGTATTTATTTAACAATAAAAAGCCTCGTCGAATCACAATGCAGTATTCTTTTTCAGGGTGGTCCTGCATTAAGAATGTTTGGTATTGTGGGAGTAAACTAGAATACAAGGAAAAAACCTAAGCCGATGAGAAGTATATAGTCAGAGATATATTCGAGAATCAATTAGCTGGATGGCCTTCTGGCCACCTTGCAGCGAAAACCTACAATATTACTAAAAAATATATATTTTACTAGATAAGGCCGACTGAGCTCTTTTTCAGAAGTGACATGGCCACAAACGATAGCACAACGAATTGGCATATCACGTGGTAATTAATCGCAGCCGAATTATCTAAACGCACGTTAATTCTAAATGTGGAGGGGAAAACTGAAGGACCAGGAGAACCCGGTAGAACAATTCCACGCGACCACGATGAGAACACGCAAACTCCAAATATACAGGTGTCAGGGTCGGGATCAAACCCACGGCCTCCTGCATTGCAGACGAGGCAGTGAAAATCTCGCCACCGTGGCACCCCTCTGTATCTGGTTTTTCCAAGGATTTTTTTTGCCCACCCACGTGCTAACCTGGCCTCAACCTTGGTTATCTTCCAACATCTGACAATATCAGGGAGTGGTGGGGGGGTTTGGGAATTGAGGGGTAAATTTGTCATAGGCAAATGTCAGGACCGAGTGACATAATTCCACGTGACATTGAAGCAGCATGCGAGATGGTGACTGCTTCGGGGTGGTCTCCCTTCATCCGGGAGTGGATTGATCATAGCTTATGATGCAACGGTGATGGTCATGGTATTCATCCCAAAAGTATGCCTACTGATGCAATAGCCCGAATCTCAATGTTCTAAGTGACTGTCAAAATACATTGCCGGCTACACGGGTCTCATGCGCGGAAAGAAATTAGAATAAATTAAAATTAACTGCATATTGGTTTAATAACATGAGGAGCGCCTCACTGAGTAAAGTATTATCTATGTGTGTCAACCTAGACGCTAATAGGACTGGTCCAGCAGTAAAGCCGTAAGTCGAAATGGCAAATGCACTCCCTCCACGCCTGTGGGACCATGATGCAATGGGGTAATGAAAACAATTATTACTTAATTTGTTTTATTAAACAGTCTGCATTGTACCGGCTGTGAAAAAAAAGTCTATTTGTTTCTTGAAAACTCGAATGCCCCACCCCCCGCCGCCACCCCCTCCCCTCCCCAATTTTTTTTTTACTTTTCATGCATATTCCCTAGGCTGAGTGCCCCAAGTACGTTTGAAGCTTCGTCTCAAAGAAGAGTGAACTGAAGCTCGGACGCTCACAATAGACCCTTTATCTCTGCCTCGTATTGTTGTTGTTTAATTACTTTCATTCCTTTTCATCATTCAAAGAGCTCAGAGTCCATTCCAACTCAATTTGGCATGTAGCAACACTAGTCTATAGCTTTACGGCTCTGAGCCAGTGGTGGAAATTCCACGTTCCTATCTAGATTGAAAAGTGCATAGCTCCCAGTGGCTTCCGAGTATCGGAACGAAAATCGTTCCAGACGGCCGCAGCAGCGCATCTTAAAGCGCGCGATGCGGTAACCGTCTTTATTCGATGGCAAGACTAAATCCTCCGCTGCGAGGATTGATGCTTTACGCTCCTTGATGAGATCAGGAGCATAACAAAATCACTGCGAACTCCGGTCCTCTGGACTCGAGGCACTACCGCCAACATGACCACGGCATCTTTGCCTCTCACCCCTCCTCTTGTCTCCCACCGCCGTGCCCTGCCCTGTACAGGACACTCCCTGCAGATCCAGTGCTACCAGTGCGAGGAGCTGAGGCTCAACGACGACTGCTCAGCGCCGGAGAATGTGGCCAACTGCACTGTGAACGTGCAGGACGCGTGTCAGAAGGAGGTGCTGGTGAGAGAGCAGGGTGAGGCGGGCAGTCGAGGATGCACGCGCACACCAACATTCTCGCCTTACTAGGGCCCTGCACCGGTGGTGGAAACGCCACTGGACTACGCTGTGACCTCGTGGATCCGGCTCTGCGGAAGGCGAGGGGTTGCTGGACCACGCAAACGTTGCAAAACTCATCTTCTTGGTTCTTTCGGTAAAGTCACGTAGAAGGAAAATAATAAAATAATAAAAATAAAACATAATAAGGTGAATAGGTCTGTCGAGAAGGCAGACTCTGTCTTCTCGACAGACCTGTTCTCCACCTGAAGACGGCTGCTTGCATTGTGGCCGAAACGTCGTAAGAATTATTTAATGTTTTATTTTTATTATTTTATTATTTTCCTTCTACGTGACTTTACCGAAAGAACCAAGAAGATGAATCCCTGCAGTCACGAAAGCTTTAAATCGAAAGTTGCAAAACTCCTTTCCCGTGGGCGTCGAGGAGGCGTCATGCCTGGCTTTTATGCACTTTTAAAATGATCTCGATTGAAAACTCATTTCTTGAGAAGTGCTTTCTGTGTTTTAGTTTATTGTCCTTCCCCTGCACCACCGATTAGCGCGGCTGGCTACGTACGGCGCGAAAGAAGTTCAACGCACGTACGTTGCCGGGAAGGAGGCAGTCAGGCAAAAATATGGACTTTGACCTCTTCCCTCTGTATGGGATAGTGTGTTTCCCCCTCACACGTGTTGGTTTTCTCCGGGTGTTTCGGCTTTTCTTCCACGTGTATTCACTCATGAATTGGCCGATAACACCTTAACACGCATTCGTCCTTCCAGTTCGGCATAACCAGTGGAAAAACCCACCCCGAAACCGTGATGGCCCCGCGTTGGGTGTGGCTCTTGGTTTGCCAGTGGAAATGGGGTAGCAATGTCACCATGGTGCACTTGCGCCAGGCTAGGTGCACTTTTAGACCACGTGAAGTGTCTAAAGTGTGCTGGCAGGCGGTCACGGAACAGACTCGGGTGTTACGGATTAACCGACTGAGATGACTGGCAGATGCACCGATTGCACTCTCCCCACAATGTTACCTTGCTTTGGTTTTAACCGACTGGTTGCCCTGTTCGTGCGTGTGAGCATCCCTCAGCCAAATTCCGCTATTGCTGGAGGGCAGCTGCTACCAACTGCCAACCGGTGTGTTTCATGATTCCCCTCTTGAAAGACGTTACTGGGGAAAAAAATGTTTTGACAGGTTCGGCTCAGTCTTCCTGGACCAGATCTCTATTCTCGAGCTCGCGCTGTGTCAGTTTACCTCCCCCCCCCCTCTCTATCAGACCAAACATAATCTGCCTGGACGTGCGATCGCACGACACGCGGGCTAGACAATTCAGCCTGGCGGTGAAGTAACCACAGCGTCTTGTGCCAGGCACCGTGCACTTTGTCGCAATGTCAAGTGTAGAAGGCAGCGAGATAACGGGAGGGACCCACGTGCTATGGGTTGACCGGAAGTTAGTTGAACACATCGTAGGCTTTCGCGACCAATAGTATCCATGATAGAGGCGTTTGGGTTTGATCGCGTAAATATATATGTGTCGTAATAGGTTTTTATCCTTTCAACTGGTATAAAAACTGACACCTTTATACAAGGCATCGTGTTTGCAATAACCACAACACAAGCAGTCAAAATGCAAACAAAAAAAAACAACTCTGATGATGATAATGATATGCACTGTCCTTGAAGTTGATTGGTCCACACCCGAGACAGCTTTTCTTAGAGCCTAGTCTCCATTGGTGTTGGACCAGATGATGCCAAAATGCTTGTGTTGTGGTTATTGCAAACATGATGCCTTGTTTAAAGGTGTCAGTTTTTATACCAGTTGAAAGGGTAAAAACCTATTACTATATTTTGCCACTGGTAAAGGAGGTTTCATAGTATAAATGTGTCGTTAAAGCCGCCACCACCCGACACAGCCAACTAGTAAGGGTTGTCATGTAAACAGAACGTGGCAATTCGTTTCTAGTACAGCACACCGGTGTGTTGGAGAGACAAGCCACAACATTTACAATTCGAGTACGACGTTTCACCGGTAATTACAATGATGAATGCACGTATATGCATTGGCTCACAAGTAATGACATCACATGTTTCCATCTATTTAGGAACGAAACAGGAGGATTTCTCCACAAATCTTGCTCTCGCCTGATGATGCTAATCGGTCAGGGCGGACCTGTGGCAGGTCGGATATGATGTCACCTTGGGCCGCGGCTCTCCGTGAGGTATTTAAGGGAATCATCACAATCTGTGGCCGTGCTTTCACGCAAGAGTCGATTCTATTCTCACGTAACTTTTCACCATCTCGTTGGAAATATCTTGTTTTTTTTGTTCTGTTTCGTTCATACGACCACGTTCATACCATGAGCCAAATTGCATCATTAGTTGCGTATCTAAATGTCTCTGTCTAGGCAGTATCGTCATCCTCATAACCGACGGTTGATGTATATGACAGATGCTGTCCACCTTTCGTGATCTTCAGTAACTCCCCGTGTGTATAATTTGCACACGCTGTAAGCACAATAGCGAATTTCTCATACGCACATTTCGATGCACTTACCGCGAAGGTAAGAGTTGATTTCAATCGTTTAATCAATGCAACGCTTCGCGCACGCTCCCTCTGATGCACGCGCACGTAGCCTGCAACCAAGTATCGGTGTCGGTGACAATTTGGAATCAACAGCCACATTCGAACGATAGCAGGCTACGACAACAGCCTGCTAGCCTGCTCTTCCCTCACAGCAGATGACCCGTTCTGAATATTTAGCAACAACACGGCCACCAATGTTCACATCTCTATTCGAAAGGTGGGCTTGAAAGATCGGGGGGCCCTTATGAATCGAAGGATTCAGCCGTCAATTAGACCCCTCACCCCCACCAAAGACACGAGTGCTGTAGCAAGCAGATTGCGAGGGCTGTGGTTTGTTTAACGGAATTAATTTTTGAAGGGCAGCTTTTAAGTCTTGGTGCAGCGCACCGACGGAACGCAAGCCAGCGGTGGCCCCGTGCCGGGCTGCCCTGGCGCGCGCACCATCAGCGGTGTGTTTGGAGGTGGGGGGTGGGAGATTGGTCCAATCATTTGACGGCGGCGTCTCCCGACTTGGATGCCAGCTCCCGTCCAGGGCGATCGCCCACAAGGCCAACCGGCTCCCTTCCAGCCAATGCCAAAGAGATGAACGCGGAGGTTTCATTTTGGTTTTTATTGGAAGCACTCCTTTATGTGTACCCTTGCTCCAGGGCAGGGCACACAGTTCATACGCGCCAGCGTACAGGGAATGGAAAGAGTAACTTTTAGACTGTGACGAGTGCTTCGTGCGATAATTAACTTTTTTTGTTTTCATGTGTTGGCTATCCATAATGCAGGTTTTTTTTATTGGGGTAGATCGCGTAAATATATAAATGTGTCGTTAAACCCGCCACCACCCCACACACATTAGTGTGTGGAAGATGTTGTGGCTTTGCTCTCCAACGCACCAATGTGCTGTACTAGTAACGAATTGGCACGTTCTGTTTACTTGACCAACCTTACTAATTGTCTGTGTCGGGTGGTGGCGGGTTTAACGACACATTTATATATTTACTCGATCTGACCCACAAAAAAACCTGTATTATGGATGATATTAGTCGCGAAAGCCTCCTACGTGTTAAACCGTGCTTGCTATATTTCAACAAGCGCCAGGTACAGAGCACAAACCGCGACGCAGCTAGAGGGGTAGATAAATAGTTCGCAAACTCTGTGCTCCTGGGTTGAGAGGGAGGGCTTCGTCTCCCTGCCACATCCGAGTGTGGACCGCGAGCAGGAGGAATAACTTAAGTAACATAGAGGAAGCGGGAACTTTTATGAGAACCGGTACAAATTAGCTGCGAGGTAGCCAGGAGATGGCAGTCGCGGTGTCGAGATGTTAACTACCTCGCCTAGAATTTTTCGATTTAAAGCTTTCGTGACTGCAGGGATTCATCTTCTTGGTTCTTTCGGAAAAGTCACGTAGGATGGAAATAACAAAATAATAATAAAAAAATTATATAATAAAATAAAATTCTCACGACGTTTCGGCCACAACACAAGCAGCCGTCCTCAGGTGAAGAAACAGAGCTGTCGGAAAGACAGCGTAATTCAGACAGCGTCATTTAGACGCTGTCTTTCCGACAGACCTGTTCTTCACCTGAGGACGGCTGCTTGCGTTGTGGCCGAAACGTCGTGAGAATTTTTATTTTATAATATTTTATTTGTATTATTTTATTATTTCCATTCTACGTGACTTTACCGAAAGAACCAAGAAGATACCTCGCCTAGTATACAGGAGGTCGTTGGTTCAATCCGGCCCTGACGCCTGTATATTTGGAGTTTGCGTGTTCTCCCCGTGATCGCGTGAGTTTGTCTCCGCTTGCTCCTGCTTTTCCCACCACATTTAGAATCAACAACACGCGTTTACAGTATTTGCCTGCCATAAATTTCCACGCGATAATAAGCCACTTCGTTGAGCCATCATTTGTGGCCAGGTCGCTTCTGAAAATGAGCTACACAGCACAGTGGGCCTTATCTGGTAAAATAAAAGAAATCTGTTTAGTTTTAGTAAAAAGCTAAAAAGTTTCGTTTGGATTATTGAATCTGTCTATGTGGAACTCAAAGTGTTACCCTCTCGGGTGTTTTTTAATTTTCCCTGGGAACTTTGATTCTCGCTGTCCAACATGTCAAACACTCGTTCATGTAATTAGCCAAACATACCCAAATATAAGACCCTCCTGAAAGAGAGTTTTGAGGTTCAGTCACGCTTTCATGTGTAAATAAATGGCATTGTCATAATTATTATTTTAAAAAATAATAATTTGCTCACCATCTGTAGGATCATCCTGGAAAGAGTACTGTGTCTCAGAGGCCTTCCTGGGTAAATAAAGCACGGTATTATCATTCCAATAAGAAATAAACAATGTAACCACATGCTTGGTGTTTTATTTACGTTTTTTTATCTTGGTAGATGCAGGAGTG